ATGACGTTATCAATTCTTCCAAGTGAATTATATAAAGGAATCATTCTATTGTTATATTTACAGAGTCGCGCTACAGAGCGGCGGGCGGGCCCAATCCACTTCCAGAAATGAAAACAAATGACTAAATATAATTTAGGTTTTCTGAGTAGTCAGTGATCTTTTTCAGTATTCAGTTCATATCTATCTATCTATCTATCTATCTATCTATCTATCTATCTATCTATCTAATTCTGTTCATATCTATCTATCTATCTATCTATCTATCTATCTATCTATCTCCATATTTTTCTGTTCTTTTTCTCCTCTCTCTATCAGTCTCTTTAAATCTGTTCCTATCTATCTATCTATCTATCGATCTATCTATCTATCTCTGTCTCTCTCTCTCTGTCTGTCTGTCTCTCTCTCTCTCTCTCTCTATATATATATATATATATATATATATATATCTTTCTATGATATCAGCATGTTGGCATCTATTTATCTATGATATCAGCATGTTGGTCTCTATCTATCTATCTATCTATCTATCTATCTATCTATCTATCTATCTTGTCAGCGTCTTAACATCTATCTATCTATCTATCTCCATATTTCTCTGTTCTTTTTCTCCTCTCTCTATCAGTCGCTTTCAGTCTGTTCCTATCTATCTATCTATCTATCTATCTATCTATCTATCTATCTATCTATCTATGTTTGTATTCATGTATGTTTATATATGCCAGTAACTTTCTCAGTTCATATCTATCTCTCTAGCTAGCTCAGCCTGTCTGTTGTGGTAAAAGGTAGTTACCCACCTTACTATCAGGAATGAGCTGACACATTCATGATAAGTAGTCCTGGGTAAAAGAAGAAGATAATACAATTGCAGAGACTTGTCTAGCTGAATACTGAATACTACTATCACGACTGTCTTTGTCGAGTTAAGTGTTGTGTCTGGCCAGACCCCACAACTCAACACTTGGGGGCGAAGGTGAATTACTATTTATTATAATATTTTTTTTTGATCTTGTGAAATCAGTAAGTCGAAAAAAAGGAACTTCCGCCGAAAACACCATCTACAAGTCAAACAATTCAAAATGGAGGATTTGAAAGAAAATAATGTCGGAATTAATAAAACAACAACAAGAACAACAGTAACTGCAAGATCAACAGTAACAACAATTCCAGGAAATATTGTTGAGACAACAAGAACATCAGCAAAAAATACTAGAACATTTTTAATGAAAAGTGAAGGTAACTTAAACACGTCTATTTTTTCTCTCACAGGCCTGAGTAGTAATTGCAAGGGGTGAATTTAAATATAACCCTGATGAACCCTGATTTGCAGACGCTGTGAGGAAATCCTTAAAAAAGTCTGTATAAGCTGGTCGATCGACAGAAAAGAGCGCTTGTAAAAATTAATTGGGGGAAAGTACTTTTTGGACTTGTCAGACGTATCAGGTCATCCCATAATTTCTGTCCGAATTTTGAATAAAGAAAACAAGTGACCAAATGTTACATTTAATTACAGATTCAATCAACAATGTATTTTCCCTGATTATCTATGACTTCCTTCCATCTATTAACAAGCTTACTAATTCAATTACTTGAAAATTCTTTTGGCTTTGATTCGAAGAACTCACAAATGTCAGTTTTAACCTCTTCCTGTGTTACAAAAGCTGTTTCTTCCAAATGATTCTGTAAGCTATGAAACAAATGGTAGTCTGAAGGAGCAAGATCGGGAGAATAAGGTGGATAAGGAATTTTCTCCCAACCAAGCTCTTCAATCTTTTGTGACGTGATTCTTGCTGTGTGGGGTCACGCATTGTCCTGATGAAACATCACCTTTTTTTGATTCACTAGAACAGGTCTTTTTTTCCTCAAAGCTTGGTTCAAACAATCTAATTGCTGACAGCATATTTGAGCATTAATTGTTGCATTAGGTGGTAAGAATTCAAAGTGGATTATTCCTTGGCGATCCCACCAGATTGAAATAAGAACATTTTGCCCATGAAGCTCCCTTCTCGGCTGTGGCCGGGGTCCTTCCCCTTTACCAAGCCACTATCTACGACTCTTAACATTTCGATAAAAGATCCATTTTTCGTCGCCAGTCACAAGTCTATCCAAAAAAGGTGAAACAAGTTGGCGAGAATGGAGAGAAGAGCAGATATCAACTCAGGATTTGAGGTTGTTTTCAGACAATTCATGAGGCACCCATTTTCCAAGTTTAGAAACTTTTCCAAGTTGTTGAAGATGACGATGAACAGTTGTATGGTTTGAACTGAGAACCATTGCCAATTCCTCAACTGATAAAGCAGGATTTTCTTCAAGGGCTGCTTCAAGAAGCTTTTCATCTAACTCAACTGGACGTCCGGTTCGATCTTCATTTTCAAGGGTGAAATCTCCACCTCTGAATTTTGCAAACCATCTTCTGCAAGTTCTTTCATTCATACATTCCTCTCCCTAAACTGAGTGAATGTTACTAGCCACTTCGGCTGCTGAGTTTCCTTTCTTGAACTCATAAAGCAACATGTGTCTCAAATGATTCTTGAGTACTTCCATGTTAGCAGGGTTTTAATCAAACAAAATTTAATTTTATTGTTCTCTGAAATAAAATTTGATCAGTTTAAATGCATCTAAACATAAAAATAATTTTTAGCTCCATTAGACATTATAAAATACTCTTTAAATTTCGTTCATTTTAACAAAAAGTTAAAATTCGGACAGAACTTATGGGATGACTTGATATATTTGCAAATCCAGGTTGACTAAGAATGTTTAAAACTGTTAACAATCAACACCCACAAGGGTTTATCCAAATTTGACAGATTACCTTTTGGAATTAAAGTAGCACCTGGATTTTTTTCAGCAAGTAATGGACACAATGTTGAGCGATCTAAACTTCGTGATCGCCTACTCAGGTGACATTGTAATAAAAAGTGAAAATAAAGAGTAGCATATTGAGCACGTAAATGAGGTACTCAGAAACATAAATGAACTGAGTAACGATAAATGCGAATTTTTCATTTTTTTTTTTTAAGCATTTCACCACAAGCAAGGGTGAAAGCCACTAGCATGATAGGGGTTACAAATGACGAAAATTAAATATTTAGGCCAAATTATCGGATATTCAACCAGAGTAAGTTCGATTAAAAATATGCCCTCCCCAACAAATGGGTAACATTTATAAGCATTTTTAGGTTTCACAAATAATTATGTTTTCATTCCGAACATGCATTTTTTGCGAGCACCATTAAATAATTGACTAAGAAAAGACGCCAAGTACAGGTGATCCGAAATACTTATCACCCCTACATAATTGTTATATAGGAATAAAGGGTCGCTGCCGACACTTGAGTTTGAACATAGATCGCCAGTGAGCAAATACAGACGATCCTATTATTGAATTAAGTACACCACGTGACCATAGAGGAAACGCATATATAGGAAGTCGCGTGACGTCTACAGGATCTCTATCTCTAGTCTCTCCTCTATTACTATACAGATCTGCATTGCTACTCTATCCTCTATTACTAAACGGATCACTATTCTCTACTCTACACACTATACTATTCCTCTATTCTGATCACTATATGAATTACTATTCGAGCGAGTCTTATCGAGCAAGTACTATTAGTGCGAGTGTTATACTTTTTGCTAGGTGGTGACAGGACTTTCAGACTACCACACAGAATTTAAAACATACGAAAAATGGTTTTAAAATTCTGACGTCGGACTCTTGCATTTTGATCCAAAATTAGAAATAATCATGGCGTGAGATGCTAGTAACTACGTTATCGGTACCATAATTTGGCATAAGCACAAAGATGGTTCTGTAGAGGCAATAGCAGATATGCCAAGAACACTTTTTATCAGCTGAGAAGAAATATAGCCAGATAGAGAAAGAGGCGTTGAAAATAATTTTTGTTGGGAAGAATGTTCACAAATTCATCCACAGTAGAAAGTTCAGCCTACAAGCGGACCATCGTCCATTTATTTTCGGGTCAAAAAAGCGTATCCCGCCCGATAAATCGAGTCAATCGACTATAACGATGGGGGACAATTCTGTTGAATAACAGTTTTAAAATGGAATTACTGCCATCAAGAAAGCTAAGCCACGTGATGGGTTGTCCTGATTCATACCTAAATTATGTGAACCTTTAGAAGATACGGTAATTGCAGCGCTGGGAAGAGCTGGGAATAAAATTAAGAACGTTTCCTGCAATACCGTATGTGATCTACCAATGATGAGATTAAAATAAAAGCTAAGGTGGATACTTTTATTAGAAAGAAAAAAAAGAAGCTAAGTAAGTTGGAAATTGAAAGAGAAAAATAAAATTAAATCGAAAATGAACGGTGACAATATTTTCGCAATCTGCAATGAGGGCTTAATGTACGGTGAAAGAATGTTAATTCCTGTATTTCTTCAGAAAAGGATGTTTAAAGAATTTCATACAGGCCGTCCAGATATCTCTGTAATGAAACCCTTCATCTACAGCTATGTCTACTGACCCAATATGGAAAAACACTAAAGAGATTGGTAAAAATGAGCAGATGTTGTGCGATCGGCAGCAAAATCACCACCAGCTAAATTCCAGCCATGGCCAAAGATTGTCGAGATTACACATTGATTTCACGGGGCCGATAAATGATGTTTACTACCTAATGGTTATCGATAGATTTTCAAAATGGCCAGAAATTTCAAAATGCAAGAGTTAAACTTCTACAACTACAATAAACTTCTTGCATGAATTATTTACTAGATAGGATATCCCGGATAACATTGTTTCCGACAACGCCATGAAATTCGCTGCTAAAGAATTTGAAAGTATTTTTAAAATCTTTGCGATAAAAACCTATCAAAGCTTGCCACCACAATCCAAGATCGAATGGGCAACCAGAACGCTTCGTCGATACTTTCAAAAGAGCTAAAATAAAAACTAATGGAGGTGAAACTAAGGATATGTTATTACAGCGGTTTTTACGTGTATGTCGGGTGACACCTAATCCTAACACGGTATCAGGTATGTCCCCGATAGAATTATAGCTCGTAAGGGAAATTAAACCGGTCCTTAACAAACAGCTGCCGAAAAAAAACCCGGAAAAATCAAGAAAAAATCCGATACACAGAATTACTTCAAACCCGACAAAAAACGTATTCTCCTCGAACTTATGAAAATGGAAAGGAACGCTGGGAAGATGGGCTAGTCCAGAGATGTATCGTAAAGTTATTGCACGTGATAAAAAGGGTTACATTGGTGCATAAAATACATCTAAAATCAAAGGAGAAAAAAGTACTCGGACGAACAGGGGATCTGAGAGGAGGAACCGATGGTGGTTCTGTAAGACGTTTTGGATATACCCCTGCCTCAGATAGCGTCCTGGGTATGACGATAAACTACGTCCAACAACAAGGCTTCAGATAATGTTTTCGTAAAAATAATGTTGCCAGCTGTATGTTTTTGAAACAACAATGTTGCCAGCTATATGTTAGTGAAACAAAAATGTTGCCAGCTATACGTTTTTTGGAAAAAATAATGTTGCCAGCTATACGCTTTTGAAACAATAATGTTGCCAGCTATACATTTTTTGAAACAATGTTGCCAGCTTATACGTTTTTGAAAAATAATGTTTCCAGCTATATGCTTAATAGTACCGTATATTTAATATATCTATAGGTATATATATATATATGTATGTGTGTGTGTGTGTGTTT